GTGCATTCACTGCACAAGCAGCAGTGAGAATTGCATGAGAATTCAAAGTTGGTTTTTTTTTAGCTTCAGCTAAACAAAAACTTTTGCCAACTAAGAACAGCTTTGCTAATATAGTCATAAGAAAATACCAAAGAGAAGACAACACAAAAGAGGAGCTGGAACGAATGACAGCTATTAAAGAATGACTGAATTGCTAAAGTTGTCTTATAACAATGAGGTTTTTTAAAAAGACATGGAGAAAATATTGGGAAAATAATGAAAATCTTCTGGTAATGTTGATATAAGACCACACAGAGAGCAACATGCCGAGATTTAATGCATCCAAATCAGCATGTCTGGCTGATGATCATTAGAAGCTGCTTCTTACATTGAGGAGTGTTTTTTAGACCCAAGGTACTTTTAAAAAGTTACCTTAGCCCTTTTCTAAAAAGTGCCATAGATCTCTAAGGCTGGAAATTGAAATTCTCTATGGGGGGTGCAGGCTTAGAAAATCTGGTACGAGTGAATATCAGATCTATTGATTGTGGGATACACATCAGAGCCTAACAAACCTGCAACTGAAACTCTGTGCAGGACTTGAAAACAACATAGCTGAAAATAAACCCTCAAACTTATCAGTGATAGAAGAAGAATATAATATCAACCCTACAGGGCTCAAGTCCATCATGAGCAAACCCAAAGCTCTTTTATAACATCCAGACGCTACTGTGTAAGTGCTGAAGAAATTCCGGGCAACACAGCAAGGAAGTATCTAAAAATACTTGCTTATCAAACACACTGATTTCCAGGAGACAAGCTCCCATTTTAGAAACATGGCCTGACATTGTTTGCATCAAAATTCAAACATTTAAATTTGGTCATGTGAAAATACATTTCATTTGAGTGAGGCTTTTCTTATGGATATCTCTGACCAGCTGCCTACTGTTATTGGGAATTTCAGTGCTGGGAGCATCACACATGCAGTGTGTCTTTGATCTGGGTAGTTCCCTCCTTTCCTTGTACTGCTTTTTTGTACTGTGGTTTTGAACAACTCAGTGTTCATATTAAAATATTCTGGTGTTCAGCAGTAGAAAGGTGAGAGGGTGTTCCTTGAAAAGAGTTAGAAACAGAGCCCCGAAGGAAGCATCTTCCAAGGAAAAACTGAAAGGACTACAGTTGCACAATTTAAGCTATATTTAAGGAAAGATATAATAAAGGTCTGTAAGGATTATAAGCTTGTAGACATGAATGGGGAATAAGAATTTTATAGGAAAGTCCAAAGGATGTCAAATAGTATTTTAAAATTAAACAGGAGGAAATTAATCTAAGTAGCTGTATAATCATGCTCTGTGATAGATGTTGGACTGGAAATTCTTTTTAATTAAAAATGCTGGAAGGGAAAGGATTAGTTTGATAAATTTTCTGGTTAGGGAGAAGAAGTTGGAAACTGCTGAAAACTACCTATTTTGTGGCTTACATGGCTTAAACTTAGAAATTTTATCCGTTTCTAGAGTTCAAAAATGTTTAAAAGAAAGTGATATGTGTTATTAAAAATTATTGAGATTTTTTTATAAAACCTTAATTTGGAGTGAGAAAACTATTTTCACATCACAAAAGATGCATTTCCTTTTCATTATTTCATAACATGTGTGCACCATTGTTCCTAGTGAATCGTATCTTATTTCCCTGGTAACATTTTTATATTCTTATCTGTTTTAATGTGTGATCTGATACACCTCATTGATCTCTTTCAGCCCCCTTTGTTTTTCCCTGATCAGTGTTCTGTGTCATGTACATTCTGTTTTCAGTTTTTATTCATTAACATGACATTTCTCATCTTCTGCTTCACTGCACTGTTGAGGAATTACCACTTCTTTTCCTCACCCTTTCTATTCTTACTCATGGCAAATGAAATAATTAATCAAAGCAAAAACTCTGCTATAGCTGCCTACAAACCACGCATACAGAATTTGGCTACTCCAGATGCCACTTGGAAAAGTGAGGTTTTGTGGTAACCTGGAGACACCTTCGCCTTTTTGTAATGCTTAAGAAAAAATTGGGCATTTATGTCCATGGGAAAGGGTATTTTGAGGCGAATTCTCAGCCACTGGAGTGGAGGGGTCTGCAGCACATTTCTCTGGCTGAAGATCTGTTGTTTTGCATTTCTGGAGTCACTTATCATTAAATGAACATAATAGTGTCAAGTTCATCAAACCACATATGTTTGAATGCAAAATGTAAGTAAGCTGTTCTGAGGACAGTGTTTCAGATGCTGCTCTCCATTGGAAATGTTCTACAGAAGGTAAGTGCCCTGAGGAATGCTGTAGCAACCATGTCTTTCACTTGGGTCAGAGCGTATCTTCTTCTGAACAAGATATCGATTTGTTTTCCCACCCTTTACTACTTTGTCTATTTTTAACCAGGTTCAGTCTCCTAAAACCTCAGTGACTATCAAATCTGTACTCCGGCTAAACATATTGTGTGGTGGCACAACAGACCTCTCCTAAAGTCATAGTGCACAACGGTGAGTCTGGAGAGACCTAGTGAATAAAACTGGGTAGTCGGTTTTAAATATCTCCAATGACATACAACAAAAATCTCCTTGACAAGATTATTTTTATTAGTTTCTCCCAGTGTGAACACTAAAGGTAAGGAAAAATTTAAAACACTACCATAAAGAAAATTTAAATCTATTGTGAAAACACTTAGTAGCTTTCTAGTCTTATGCTGCAGGTGTCTCTCTGTCATTGTCCGTCTCAAGAAATCAAAACAGAATGTGCTAAAAAAGAAGGAATATTTTATTATAATATTTGAAAGGTCTTTTTGTTTTTTAAAATTAAACCAAACCATAACTAAACCTGTAAAACTGAGAAAATTTTAGTGAATTATTTAAACTTTTTTTTTTATGTTGACAGAAAATTTGCAAACTTACTTTCAGTTTTTCTGATTAAGGAGAAATTAAAATAAACACACTGAGGCTGAATAACTTTTCTAGCCATTTTGATTGATTCAGTTGAAATTAGTTACAGGGTTACATATTGTTCTGTAACAGAATTTGTTACAGAACATTGTTACAAAGTTATAGGCTATTTTACAAAGAAAAGCTGGTTTCAGTCTATGTATTAGTCCCCATGAGCTGGGAAAAAGGGTCAAGTGAAGCATAGAGGCAGACACTGAAATCACAGCAGTATGAAAGAACATAATAGAACAGGATATTAAATAATCAGATATATAATATCTAGCAGAAACCTAATTTTGTGTAATTGCCAAAATAACAGCTTAGTGTCAAATAATGAATGACATTATAAAAGGATTAGTCTGATACTGTGTTCCAGTTCATAAATGTCACAATTTATTGTTCCGTAGCTTAAACATTTTCTTAGGTAGATAACAGTTAATTTTCACTTCTTGCGTGTGAATCTTTGTATTCATTGACCAGAGGAATGAATGTCTTGCCTTAGAGATTGTCTAAATTTTATACACCTGAATGAGTCAACAATGAGATTTTTTTTTGCATCTGTTTTCTATCTTAGTGTTTTGAAGGGGAAATTACAACTTTTTTGGATCTCCACATCTATTTATTGCAGGTCAGAAACAACTGGCCTTGGGGAACTTTATTGTACATGTTTTTAATGGACTTTTCGGAATGACCTGCCACTCACACTCACTGTGAGCAAGTATGGGAGCACAGAAGGATAAGATGTATTATCGCTTTTGTACTGAAATAATCCTCACTTTAGAGTTATGTTATGCCTTACCTGTGTGATATTATTAACTACCATTGTTCTCCACAATGCTGCTACAGATCTCAGAGGAACTGCAGGGACTCGATGCCAGGTCTTCTGAACAGCACAGCAAGTACTTGCACACATCAATAATGGTAAAATTTTTATATTATCCATGAAGAATACAGAGAGCAGTGGGAATTGTTGATGCCAAATACATTGGATCTGTGGCCTTTTGATTTAGGATAATTATGTGGGAAATGAGCAGTTCTATATTCCTGGTTCATAGCTACTTGCCAGGTGACTGCTTTCAGAGAATCAGCAGAAAAAATGTATTTTTTTAATAGGTATTGAACAGTAGGTTCTCACTGATTACTACCACATATAGCAATAAGGTCTTTCCCCATGCATGAGCTGGTAAGAGTCAGTATTTCAATATTGGGTATGTGTTCAATGAACATGACTTAAAAGAATTATTAAATATTTATTGGTGTATTCTGAGTGTTACTAAGCAGCAGTATTGAAGCCATGAAGAAAATCCATAGGATTTTCCTTTCTCTCTTTTTTGTTTTTCTCCTCCTTTTGCTCATTCCTTTCTGCTGCTGTCCCTATTCTACCTTCCTTAGTGGTGAAATTGAGAGAAACAGAAAACTCTATGGAGGAAATGCAAAAACTACAGGTAAAATTACAGCTTCTCAAAGCCAAGGGTGAAATTCCCATAGACCACAGAAGGCCAGACTTTCCTTAAACTTTAGAAAAATCTGTTTATTAGAAATACCAAGCTACATATGGAAAAAGGGGCAACTGTGGAATGCAACAGTCTTAAAGACCTAAAAGATGTTGTCAAGTATGTGTGTAATGGAGGAGAAGCTTAAGTCACAAGTTTTCAATTTTCTTTTCAGTGTGCAGAGCCCTGCCTAGTGAATTCAAACCTGTTGATAAACAGTTTGTTTTCCTTGTTTACTTTTCACAGGCTGATGAGAAGCTCTCCTTCCACACCCAGGGGCCATGGGGGTGGCCCAACTAGTGCTCTGGGGCTTATGGGGAAAGATACACACCTTTAGAAAATAATCTAAACGAGGAGGTTTAATTACTAACTTAACTTTTGCTGGACTGATGTCACCCAGAGCAATCTCATGTCCTTTTGTCCAGGGTATGTTTTAATGGACGAAAAATAAAACCCCAAAATATCTCCACTGGTGTCTTTTATTAAGTAATGCAAAATACAGTATTAATTATGACACTGCATGCATTTTAGACAATATAAATGCAAGCCTACAGAAAATGTGACAAAGAAACCCTCAATTACTTTTGAGGTAGTATACAAGGAAAAATAGGAAAGCAGAAACACTGTGGGTTAAAAGAACAAAATATTAGTATCACTTTGTGCATACATTAGTCACTCATAAATACATTTGTATGAAATAACTTAAGATACAATTCCATTCTTGTTAAAAAATATACTTCTTCAAATTCACTATTCTTCTTTGTTTTGTTTTCATATGACATTTTACGGTATTTTATCAGGTGGAACTATTTTTCGTCACCGCCATCATGATTTTACTATTTTTCTCCAAGAGTTTAGGCACAGATGGCCTCATGCACAAAAATAAATAAGAAACCTGCTTGAAGGGAAAAGAATTCTGCTCAAATAGCTTAGGATATTTTAATAAATACCATTTTGTTTATAAAAATACTTCCGGTTTATAAAAGAGGGGAGGGGACGGTCTCCCACGTGGAAAGGATGTTAAGTGAAAAGTGCTATATAACATTTTTGAAGAGATTTTGTTTTAAACATATAGTACCATTATGAATATATATTTTATAATAATCCTGTTTCTTAGAACCTTAGTGTTCACTAGAAGTATCAAATGCTGTTTGCTTCCTTTCGTTTGTTGTCTTATTGCCATTTTGGAAGATGTCTAGTTCAGAAGGGTTCCATATAATTGTGCTTTTGTAAGGCTGTCCTTCCGACTCAAACCAGTACTCCCAGTCCGTTGGAACTGCTGCTGCTTGCTGTGAATACTCGAATGGCTTCCTTGCTCCATGGAAGACTGGTGGATTTCTGAAGCCTCCACCGAACTCTGATTGAGGGACTCTGCTGAGCTGTTGGGGCTCACATCCACATATTCTCTTTTCAATACTGGGCTATTTTCAATGTTTTTGTTACTGCATAATTGGACAGTAATCCTTTCATTTTTTTGGTCTCTTGATTCTTTTGTTTTGTAAGTGGGCAATTTGTCCTGTTTACAGCTAGTGCTGATGTCAATATTCAGACCACTGTCTGTTCTCAGGAAGCAAGAATCCACAAGTCTGCTTTGGCAGATATCGTCTCCCTCTGAGCAGCTATCTGCTTTGTAACTAGCATAGATGGGGCTTGTTCGACTATCTTCCTTCTTAATAGGACTGCTGTAGTACTGCTCTGAAAAACTACAGGGCGACAGCCTGCCAGTGTTCCTGTAAGAGTACGCACCAATGTCCTCCACACTCAGTTGCCTCCATTGCCCAGGCAAGTCGTCTTCTGAAAGCTGGGTGCTCCTGCACTCATGACTCATTTTCTGATTCGCTAAAGCCTGCTGTGGTGTTATGGCTGAGAAATGAAAAGATTCATTTGCATACGGAGGCAGAGTCCTAGTAAACGTGGGCGAGTTCTCATTGTCATCGGCAAGCTCCATGTGCTGTGCAGGCTTGGACTTGGCGAACCTAGGACTTCCCTGATGCTCATAACCTGCAGGTGACTTTCTTTCAAACAGTTCATCTCGGTTGCTCAAGTAGATCGCTTGCTGAGAGGCTGTCAGAGTGTTGGCTTGGGCGTTCTCCTTCTCCTCGGATGTGACACTGAAGCTGGAATAGGAGCTGGAGGTCGGCAGAGAGGTAATGTACTCTGGGAAGGCTTCGTGAGAGAAGCTGGAATGGAAACCGTCTTCTTCGACGGTGCTGTCCGTGGAGTTCTGGGACCGCAGGAACCCTACATCTTTCACTTGCGTGTCCACACTCTGCCTCCTCTCCCTCCTCCTCTCCTCGGGGCAGTAAAGGGCAGTGTCGCTGCAGTAGATGTCCGACTTGTACTGTGGCCTTTGTCCAATTTTTCCAGCAGAGTCCTGAAAATTGAGATCCCTTGTAGATGGGCTTGACAAGTGTGAAGACAAGCTGTTTGGATCTGGTTTTTCCAGTACTTTGGCAATGACACAAGTGGGTATGGTATCAGCATAAGTTGTGTGGCACAAGGGGACAGAAAGGCTGCACCCGTGTTTTTCCAGATGGATGCTGAGTCTTTCCTGAAAGTCAGATGGCAACTGCAAAACAGAAAGATGGCAAAGGGGACAGGAGAAAAGGGTACATGTCAGTACTGGTGTCTGCTTGGCTTATACAACATTGATAGATGGATGCTGTTGACATGACATAGCCCACTATATATGGTTCTTTGACTAATGTGATGGCCACAATCTTTGTGCATTTGTGAAAACAAATGTAATCAAATGACTTTCATTATTAACACTTGGAAATCTCCATCTGCTTCCCCTCATGGAAAACACTGTGAAACTTAGATTTTTCCTTCCAAGTTAATTCAGTTTGGATAGGAGTGATATAAAGAATGTAGTAAACAATAATTTTGAAAAGGCAGGTAGGGAATTACAGCCTACATCGACAATTTCCAAACTGTGTGTATGGGTGGATTTGCAGTTGGAGTGTGGGAGTGCACGGGTCTCAGCTGTGGTGAGGAAAGAGAGGGAAGAGATCACATCTATTCTTTCTTCGAGGTTATCTTGCCTCCAACCTGGTGCCAAATTTGCTCCTGCCCTCCAGCATTGCATTTGATAATCAATGTTTGAAGAGGCAGGAAAGCCGGATTCACTGACACTTAAAGCAATGGTACTCGCTGCTATGACAGGAGTGTTCCTATGCTGGGAAGAAGCAAATCAGACTGGTTTGCTTGCCCCAGCAGTCAGACACTACTTGTCAGATCAACTATCCTCATAAGCCCCAATATATTCCTCTTTTCCAGCAGCTGCTAGCTGACTGCTTTTCTAGTTTCTTACTACACTGACAGAAATAAGAGCTAAGACCTGAATTTACATTATGATTCCTGTGACAGCCAAGTCAGAATTTAACATTAAGTCTGTTATGCATCAGAAATCATATAGTTTTTTGAGAAAGTCAGGATCAGTTCTGTGGATGGTGGTTCCACCTGCCATTCTGTCATGTGGATCAGAAGAGATTAAGAGACCACATTCCTTGGTGTGGCTTGAAAGTCTGGTAACTAATGCCTATGCAGGTATCACCAAGCATCATTGCCAGTCAAATTTCATGCATGAGAGGTGTCTCTCCGTATCTCTTGCTGGAAATCCAAAGAACTCCTGTTCAGACTAAGTTTTGAGTTTGTGACTGCAATAGCTCCTTTGGTATCCATGTTGATTCACACCACTTAGGGATTTAGCCCTTGAATGCTTGGCGGAACTCTGATTTACTCAGCACTTTATTTTTATAACGAGAAATCAAGTTCCTCTTTAGCAAATAATCTCAATCTCTCCTTAACTTTTTTTCTCTAGAGGAGAGAACCCTATGAATACTGAAGCAGTCCTCCGCCCACTATTTTAGGCAAGAGAAATTTGAGGTGCCAGCTCCTCATAACGATCTCACATCATATAAGATATGGAGCTCCTCTTTTAGCTTCAGCGGGAAGTTTTAAAAGCTTGTTTAATCCCCAAAACTCAATGTATTCAAAATATGGCATGTTGTGAAATGGCATTCTTGTTAATGAGGAGTAGGATGAGTGTTTTTTCAACCAACAGACCTTCCAGGTTATTTTGGATTAATCATTGTGTTGTTAATTAGCTCATATGTCTTCCATTGGAAATAAAGAGTATGATATTGCCAATCTCCTGGCAGACAGCAATGTTAGTCATAGTAAGTACAGATGTAACAAAGATTGAATAAACAGGTTATAAAAGAGGGCTGCTGTAAATTGCCACAGAAATGAGGAAAAGAAATGCAGTTCATTTAACATGAAACTGCTGCATGGGGCAGCTATTCTTTTAGTATCCCGTAATACCACTGTTTGATCTATTTTATATACAGTATTTAGATTATGAAATGTGTTAAGAAAAAGAACATTATTTTCTGGGCATTACACTGGAACCTGTAATTACTAAAGTGATATTGCTGTCACATTTCTATATTATACCATAGTTTAGGCTTCTGGATAATATACAATACTTGGTCAGGCAATATTTGCATTTTAAGGAATTTATTGACTGTGACAACAAATTCACGCTTTCTAAATTAATAAATACTTGGAGTTATGAGTAGAGACTTGGCCTATTTAATTGAGTGTGTGACAGTCTGTGAAATTGTGGGGAGATCCCACATTTATGACAGTGTTCTGCAAGTGAACCACTAAGTACTTTTAAGGTCCTAATTCTTGCTAACAGGTAGGGTGCTCTCAAGTGTGAGTAACATCATAATTCCTGAATATGAATTGCTAAGGAAAAAATAACATGACCAAGATAATGGTTAATTTGGAAGTTCTGTCTCCGTTCCAGAAAACCATTGCCCATTTGACAGAAGAGTCTTGTTCTGTCTTTATTTACCAGGGTTGTTTAGTGCTCTGAAGCTGTCTACTGGCTTAGAAATGGTTTATACATTCCACTTTCAATTTTGCATTATTCTGTTGCAGAACTACACAAAAGAGACCATTTGGGAGAATGTTAACCTGATAGGACTGATGAAGGGAAGGCTTTTCTCCATGACCTTCACTGGAGCAATATACACAAGGAAGGTGCTATTGCTTTGTGCAGGGCCTGCATCCCTAAAGGCAGTCTTGTTCACTAAGATAACATTTACCTCCCCTTTAAGGAGTTTGTTTCTCAAGCCTAGTTTCCTTGGAAGTGAGGACTATTAATTAAAGTCTACAACTTGGAAATCAATCATTCAGTGCTCTGGTTGCTTTTGAAAAATATATTTGTTCTGTCAGTCCATTTTAAAATTCAGGTTTAGAAATTAGCTGGACTGGAAAATAGCTTCAGGAGGAAAATTGATTATATTGGAATCTCTGATGCCTGCAGCTTGCCATTTCCCTGCTGCCACCCCCTGTCCCCCCCAAGCATTTTGCAGCCTAGAGTTCTCAGCACTTTGGTTTTCCTAAAATCTTTATTTTTCATGTGATCAGTGCAGGCCCATTCTACCAGATGGCCGAAGCTTTGGGGAAGAGAGTACCTCCAAGTTCCATCACTGGCTGTGATTTTTTCAGCACCTTCCTCAGCTGCACAGGATACCAGCAGATGCACAAACCCTCCTGTTGCCCGAGGAGAGGAGGAATCAAAGCCTTAAGGGCAAATGAGTTCTGGAATTGATACATGTAAAATAACCTGTTTCCCATAAAATATTTATTTCTTTAATTATTCACCAAGTTCGGTCACGTTACCTCTGAAAGCTTATGTGCCCTGTCGTAATTCTTGCTGCACTGGAGCAACTGAGCAGCTAAATTGCAGTCCTTCCTATAGAGCTCCTAGAAAAACAAAAAATAGCTTGTTTTTTAAAGTTTGCAAATATCTTGTGGCTTTCAGCCTCTCTCCCATGCCTAAAGCAATCTTTTAAAAATTGACTTTGGTGAAATTTGGAGCATGCTTTAACTTTTGAATACATGTTCTCTCGTATGGTCCTGATATCTTCACCCCTCTGTGAGGGCTGATAAAATTATGAAAAAGAAAATTTTGAGACCTGTTACTACAGAACAGTAATCTGAATTTCAAAAGATGGATACTCACCGTTAGGAACTGGACTTTATACTGTTAACATGCATGGCACTATGGAGGCTAAAATAAACATGACCTTTTAAGCAAAAAGAAAATTTAAGAACAGACAATTTTTACTGAGTATTATCCAGATCAGCACTGAGATACTACTTTAGGAAGTGTTGAAATTATCTTATGAGACTGTGGGAGAAATTCACTGCAGAAATACATATTGTATTGTTTTTTAAAAAGAAGGCCTTTGTCTCCTTATGAAACTTTCTTGCTGGTTAAAGGAGCTCCTTTCATATCTTGCAGAATGCAGGTATACAAACATATTCAATCTCACTGCAAATATTGGATGCTACAGAACAGGATATTTTTACTTGTAAGAAATTACCATGAGAATTCCACACAGGAAAAAAGAGAATTTAAACAAGCTTCTTATACTATTTTTGTATTGAATGGCTCCCACAGCCTATTTAATGGGAAAATTCAGTACATAGATTTGCCCTTCATCTAAATTCAATTTAACACACATGACTGTAACTGTATCCTTCAACCAGTATCTTTGGGTCACTGGAGGTAAGAGTTGTATGTTGCTTCTCCTAATCTAGGTGCTATTAAAAACAAAGTTGGCTTCAGAAGTTAAATTTGTAGGTGGGCATAGATGAGACAAACAAAGCAGAAAGATACTGTGGACACGAGGTTGTTTTAACCTGTAGAAATTAGAAAATGTTTATAGAGAAAAGATGTTGAATACTGAAATGACTTGAATTTTCTCTGCCACTAATGTTATAATTTTATTGCATGCAAATTTTTACTTTTCCATTTTTTCTTTTAAAAAACTGATAAATACATTTTCTGTGAAAAGGAAAGGTGGAAACTTCTGTTTTGAAATACCATTTTAAAAGGTATTCTGTAATAACAGATACCACAAGATGTTCCTGGGAGTCTGTGAGGCATGGGGGTAGTAAATGTAGTTTTCCAATGATCATCAGTCCATTATATATTTATATTCAAAGGCCTTTAGATACTCCTGGCATGTGGGTTTCTTTTTTTTTTGTTTTGGTGTGTGTCTGTGTGAGCTTTTATACATGCCACTTGTGCCTTAAAATATACCGGGGAGATACATTCATTTATGTAGGTCTTAAATTTTGTGTTAGTACACACTATTTTTATTCCTGAAAACAGATGCAAACAGTAGGAATCCAAGAATTCAATTTAGAAGCAAAATCCGTTGCATGTGCATGTGATTCTGACAGGTTACATGCGCGTTAAATACATAATATATTGCTACATAATGTATAGCACAGACAAGTAATCCCAGTGCTGTATGGCCTTACTAGGCATCCAAAAATTAAATCACTCCAAAATCAAATCCTTTCTTCAAAAGCTATGAGGCTCTGTTTCTGTGAAGAGGTTGTCATGGAGAGTACACAAAGTATATCTTGTACTTAATTTTTAGCAGCTTTAAAAATTACTCCAGAAAAATTACATGCAAGTTGAATGTGCCACATGTACTTTGCACACAACGTACTGGGACATGCTGTGTGACTGGAGTGACTTTCTGTCCTTTAATGTTTATTTGCATGGAAACTAGCCACATCTGTGGCAACTAGAACAATAATAATCAATTAATGCCAAAAGTGTTTTCTATAGTCTAAAACATGTTTTTGTGTCAAAAGCATTATTTTACTTATCTGCCAGAAGAATAGGGGGTAATAGAATTGAAGGAAGAAACATTGGCAAGTCAGAAACGCGTTCTCCCCATGTGGGATTCACCAGTATAACACTGTCTTTACTTATTAGTATAATATTAATGGTTTGTTTCATTATTCTTTATTTTAAAATTTGGAATTTAACCTTTACATTCATTAGTGATGCTACATAACTAAGGGTAGAATTTTGTCTGTGAATCAGCCTCAAGTATTTGAGGCTTCTGGACCATACTCTAATGTTCAGAGTAGTTCAGAATAATTATTGGAAAAAGAATACTCTCTATTCCAGTCCAGTTTAAGCCACCTTTTAAAAGTTATGAATATTTAAAACACTTCAGAGTGGGCTCAGACCTGACCCAAAGAAGTAGTGTAAATGCATGAGTATTTATTGGGAGAGTTTTACAATTCTTTTCCCCCTTCATTTTAAATCTGAAATAACTCCAGTGATTTCAGCTCAATTAATCTGGATTTATACCTGTGTTTCTAAAACCTAAATTTAGTCCATTTCACTTGCCAGGTTCCTTTAGTTACAGCTATTGGAGTTATGAAGTAACCATTGTTTCAGCACAATTTCTATAAAAGTAAAGGGTCAGATTGTGAACTCTTTGTTTCCGTTGGAAAGCTGTTAATTGCACAGGCACAATTCACATCAACAAGCATATTAATGGGATCAAATGCTCGCTGCTATGATTAAGAGTTCATATGAAATATGGGAAGATTGAATGTAAGATGCGGAAAAATAAGTGCTAAGAGAAACGTCTTCTGTAGATGAATTTTTTATTAAGTGTCTAAGGAATGGCACAATAATGAACTAAATGACTGTAATCTTTCTTTCTTTGCTCTCTGTTTTAGATTTGTCCCTGGAAGGTTTTCATGAGCTTGGTTTCCAGCTGCAGTACGTATGCCAGTTTCCAGCAGTGTTCCGTGAGATGTAGGGTGACAATTGCCAGAGATGTACCCTGTTTTGTTCCACACAGAGATAAGTAAATTGTTCCATATGAACCACAGCTGGGAAAAATCTGTCTCCTCCCGCTCCCTGCAATGACCTGAGTGACCAGGTTGGGTCAATCCTATCCTCTGCTAGTAGAGCTCACTTGTGCCAGGCATCCCATTTCAGTGAGTGAAGACTGAAGGAACAGAGGAACTGCAGGAAATGTAGAGTTCCACACTGTGCCTAAAATCCTTAAGCTGAACCCTCACTCCGTACACGTGTCCACACAATAGCTCTGAGAATATGCTTCTACCAGTTTGCTCTACTAGACTGAAACTGATGGCAAAATCAGTGTGGCAATACTGCCATTTCTTAGAATATTTTTTTAATCAGTTTTAGGTTAGACCTAGGGAAAAAAAAAATCAATTAAAAGTCTCACCCCAACCCCATAGCATAAAGAGAGCTGAATTTACAAAATGATGGAAATAATCAAACATGAATTTTAACTGTTGAGCTGAAATTTACATTTGATGTAAACAACAAGAAATTATTCTATAATTTCATGGGAAGTGCATGGCCTAATTTATTTCCAAATATAATCTTGAGATGTTCTCATAATTAAATACTTACATTGTCTTCTGACAACTTATCTATTGTCACCTTGGCCTCTATTAAGTGATTATTGAGTGCAATTATTTCATGGCTCAAAGCCCGTTTTTCCTCTTCATAATGTTGACCCTGTGTAGAAAATGGAGTAGTCAGTATTTTTTCTACTGTTGGATATTTCAGAAAAAATGTCCAAAGCTTGATGTAATTCTCAAATCTAGGGAAAAGCACAACAGAACAGTATTTCTCCCCCCACCTATTTTTTACCTATTTTCACTCAGCAGATGAGACAATGTACTTTGAAAATATGGAGATCAAACTGAGCTGACATTAGGAACCTTTGCAAAAGGCTCTAGCTAGCCTGTGCAAAAACATTCGATTAACGATCAGTTATTCCTTATTCATTACAAGAAGGGTTTCTAACCTGGAAGGGACTTTGCCTGCTCTTGGCTTTTGCTACAAGAACATTTCACTTATGACATTAGCTCCCACTCAACAGGGGGGAAAAAACAATATTTGAAAAGGAAAGTAGCTGTGTTTCAACCAATTTCTTTTTAGCTGTTGACTGTGCTGGCTGCTTTAAAAACCTTGAATGAGGTTGTTCATTTCTCAAGATGAATGTTTGCCTGATTGTGGAGTTAACACTTATTAGCAGAATGTGACCCACTGTGGGATAACAGGAAAATAGTCTGATTCAAACTTCTTGCTTCCCACTAATTTAATGTGGTTACCAGTAGGCTGCAAATCTTTATTATAAATGCAAAGAAATGGAAAAGTAAAGTGCCACTAGCTCTTCCCATACTGTGTCACATTTTCACATTTCAGTGTTTATTGCACCACCTCATATACTAAAAATTGTTTTGTAGCAATCATTTATAACCCTGCCTCCAGCCTTATGTTAGTATTAAAAAGTATGGTAGCTTCTAAATGCTCTATCTGAGATCAAGGCACATTCCTTGTGTTCAGAGCTGTACAAGACCAGATAATGAAAAAGTTTGCCAATTATCTGGAGGTATCTTTTAGAAGCAGTGTTGCAGTAAGAACAGAGAGTAGGGTAAACCTTGATGTACAACTGTTTTGTTTTACAAACTCAACCCAGTGACAAATTCAAAATCTCACTTCCCATTCTCAAACTGCTAGAGTAATTTGTGAAGGACTTTCTCCAGCAGGGTAATTGTATTAGCTACTGAAATTTCCCAAATGCAATATTGCCAGGGTCACACAAAAATCTTCCATCAGCACACAGTTGGCAATGTCAGCTAATTGACAGCAATGGGAGTTGTGTGTTTTGAAGTCCAAATTAATATCAAGGTTAATTATCCAGCTGCAAAGCACCAGGCTATATTAGGGAAGAGCAATTAAATTGGAAGCGGCAACGCTTATCCTAAGTTGCTATTTAAAGAAAAATACCTTCTCCAAAGGTCTAAGCAAACCCATGGCTTGCTTTAAACATTGCAGATATGATTGAGGTGTTTTTGCGAAGGTCTGTACCAGCCTGTTTTAATGTCAGCTTTTCTATGGGCTGTCTGTTCCCTGCTGTTGCAAGACCTCCATCCTGAAGCCCAGCTGTGCATGGAGCCTGGTTCAGGCTTGACACCTTTCCTGTCCTCATACCCATAGATCAGGTCCTCCTGCTAACTACCTGGGGATTATATCGTGGAAAGCCAAAGTGTAGTTTTCACAGAATCACGGAATGGTAGGGGTTGGAAGGGACCTCTGAATATCATCTAGTCCAACCCCCCTGCCAGAGCAGATTCACCCAGAGCAAGTTGCACAGGACAGCATCCAGGCTGGTTTTAAATATCTCCAGAGAAGGAGACTCCACAACCCTTCTGGGCAACTTGTTCCAGTAATCTTTCACAAAGAAGTGTTTCCTCATGTTTAAGCGGAACCTCCTGTGTTCCAGTTTGTGCCCATTGCCCCTTTACCTATCTCTGGCCACCACTGAAAAGAGTCTGGCCCCATCTTCTTGACACCCAGCCTTTAGATATTTATAAACATTAATAAGGTCCCCTCTCAGTCTTCTCCAGGCTAAACAGACCCAGCCCTCTCAGTCTGTCCTCATAAGAAAGATGCTCCAGCCCTTTTATCATCTTTGTAGCCTCCACTGGACTCTCTGAGAAGTTTCCTCTCTCTCTTGAATTGGGGGGCCCAGAATTGGACACAATACTCCAGATGTGGCCTCACCAGGGCAGAGTAGAGGGGGAAGATCACCTCTCTCGACCTGCCGGTCACACTTCTCTTAATGTGCTCCAGGAGACCATTTGCCTCCTTGTCCACAGGGGCACATTGTTAGTTCATAGTCAACTGGTCATCCACCAGCACTCCCAGGTCTTTCTCTGCAGGGCTGCTTTTCAGCAGGTCAACCCCCAACCTGTACTGGTGCCTGGGGTTATTCTTCCCCAGATGCAAGACACTACACTTCATCAGGTTCCTCTGCACCCAACTCTCCAGCCTATCCAGATCCCACTGAATGGCAGCACAGCCTCCCGGTGTATCAGCCACTCCTCCCAGTTCTGTGTCATCAGCAAACTTACTGAGCGTGCACTCAGACCCTTCATCCAAGTCACTGATGAATATATTGAATAAGACTGGAGCAAGTACTGACCCTTGGGGAACACCACTAACCACAAGCCTCCAACCAGACTCTGTACCGCTGATTAAAACCCTCTGAGCTCTGCCATCGAGCTAGTTCTTCACCCACCTCACTGTCCCCTCATCTAACCCACACTTTCTTAGCTTAAGTTTTGGGGGCTTCCAAGAGCTCCAACCTCACTGATTTTAACAAGACATGAACTTAGGGGCTGTATTTTTTTAATCAGGTAGATTGTCGTGGTTTTATATGAGGCTCTTAACTCTCATTGATTTTATTGTGAACTAAACAACTAGGCACTTTGTAAACCTCCTGGACATCTGTGCACCTCTAGAAATCTGTTTCCTTTGACAGTATTACTGAAGATTACATTTTCAATGGTATTTAGATGTGTAATGAATTAGACAAGTGCTATATTGGGATCTTCAGTTACCTAAATACCTGGGAAAAATGTGTCCCCTCAATTTTCCAAGTCATTTCATGCTTTTGAAGGATCCAGGCCCTCTGAGTACAGACTTAATGTTCCAAATAACCGTTTGTATAAAAGATTTCATTTTTCCTTGTATGACAAGTTGTTGTCAATGCCCTGGCAGTTGATTTGTGGGACCCACTTTTGCTCTAAGTCTCTCTGATTTCAATGAGTGCTGCTCTTGCCTAACCAAATTGAACTTGACTCAATGTATTTTACAGTTCAGGAAAGATAATCTGATCAAGGATTTATAGTCTTCAGCCCAGAAAGGAACTCATAAAAAGGCAGCAGATTCAGGCTTCAGAAGCAGTACTTTCCATTGCAGAGTAATGCTGAATCTGACTGAATTACGGTTTCATTATATTTCAGTTACTGATAACTTTTGGGTTGGGTTTATGTTTTCCAGACTCTGTATCTGACCAAGTATGACTTTACAAAATATTTTATATTTGTTGAACTGTAAAAATCACCTTAGTCAAAATTTATACTATACAGATCATCAGATAGACACCAAAGTCATAAACATCTCAGCAGCACTGTGAAGGAGGGAGAATGATAAAGATAGGCACTCCTCCACCAGTATATGTTTCCATCTTTCTCTTGAAATCACTGTTGGTGACATGAGCAAAGAGTCTGTTCCACTGTGACAAAATGAGGGAGCCTAAGGGTGGACAGGACCCTGAAAGACTTTGGCATATTGACCACATACTGTGTGTCCATCTTAGAAAGTTCAGGGCTTCAGCCAGATGTTATCATGGTCCAGTGGTGACAGCAACAGGGCAGAAGCTTAAGCCTGACATCACCTTGGGGAAAATGGTGCAGTTGGAAAACACGGCATGGTAGCACTGGATCACTGCATTAAAAGCATTGCTGGTTACTGGGGACTGCAAATTTGAGCTCTCCAGTTGATGTAGGGCAATCATATTTTCAGCATCACATATAGATGACAGAGAGAGATAAAAGGAGACAGGAATCATAACATCAATGCTATGACTGCAAGTTACAAATAGAAATGCTCATTTTACTTAAACTACCTTTGGCAGACTTCTCTATGTCTGGTAGTTTTTAGATGCTTGGTTGTCTTGCACTTGCATAAGGCTGGTGACCTCTCCTCTCACCTTTTGGCAATGATTTCTGCTCTCCAGCTGGTAACAACTTGTCCCTCAGAACTCACTAATAGATTAAGTAAATGGTGCTATTGATATGAAAATGGCTTGCAGCTGGGCTGAGGGATCCTGAAGCCCACTCCAAAATGCCATAGCTATAGGTTGCAACTGGCTGAGCTTCTGGTAGTTCTTTGTTCAGAAATCTTTGTTGAGTCAGCTCAGTGCATTTTGCCCTGACCTCCTCCCCTAGCACAGATCCTACATAAAAGAATGCAGCTCCATAGTGCCTGACTAATTTGACAGAACTGTAGTCATGTGCCCACGTCTGAGTCAGATCAAATTCATACTGCTGGGTGACTCCAGCAGCACACAGCCAGAGCACTGATGTTAATGTTGGGGGAACCAAATGCTTGGAGACCTTGCTCCTAGCCTGGATTTAGCATGAACCTCATAGCTTCCTTCTCAAATGTGATGAAGGAATTAGGTATCTACTTTTCACAATGGGATTGAATGGTATAATTGGATATATTGTCTCTGCCTGGAACCTCATTTTTCTTATAATTTGTATCATCTATCACAGATATAACATCCTTCATACCTTCACAGATTCACAAAAATTAGAGGGGTGACTTTCAAAAGTGTTTGGTATCATGTAGTCCCTACACCTGTTATCTGCAGTATAGCTGGGATGAAAAGAGTTTTGGTAGGTTGGTACAGCATGAAATAATTAAGTGTATTTTTGAAAGTAAAAAAAGTTGGATGAAAAGATCTACTTTTCTTGTGTATTAGTGGATCCACGAAGGTTCCTACTCTAGTCTTTCAGCAGAGATAGAGCAGCCTAAAAGTTGTCTGTCTCTCTGGTAATGTTTCAGTCTCCCTTCAATGCTTTCCAGCAGCTGGAGAGTGTCAGCCTATTAGTTAAGGCTAGGCTGCTTACTGTCGTCTCTGCTGTCCTGCGGGAGCT